CAGCAGGAGTGATGCAGCTACATCCTGTCCAAGGTGCAGCCACAATCCCGGTCCATAGATATCAGCTAGGGTCCCGTGAGGGTCCACAGCAGGAGCGAAGGCCGTGGTGAAAATCTATGCTGACAGGGAAGTCCCAGGTCCCATGACAAGCCACCTATGGTAAACCAGGGTGCCTGAAGACACCTCCAGAACCCCTTCAGGTCTTGAGAGGTTGTGCCTACGGGAACTCCGCACCCAACCACGCATCTTGGGTTTCTTGACAGAAATGTGCAGATAGCAGCTTCACTGTGCTGGTCGATCTGCGGAAGTGTGGCGTGACGGATACTGAGAACTGCCTCAAAGCAGTCACACTCAACCTCAACAGTGGGGACATGGTGAGGACTGGGGCTCTGACTACCATCAAATGATGGGCTGCGAGTGACACAGGTAGGGAAGCCTATGGCGTAGTGACAAGCCAGAGTAAAGAGAGGCCTCCACTCCCTCTCTAAGCCCCCAGGTAGGAGCAGCCACCACCCAGATGGGAAGAACCTACTGCAAGAGTGGGCCTGAGTTTCCTTCCTGGCTCTGACACCGGGTTGGGGGAGGGCATTCTATCAGAAGTCTTCCTATGAGTGGCTGGATGGGCCCTGTGGGTACTGACCATGTCCACCACATACCAGGTCGTCCGGATCCAGGCCAATGGTGCCGTGTTCCTGAATTCCATCTTTACTCAGCTGCCCCTATCAGCAGGTGTGTGGCTCCCTGGGAGAACAAGCCAGGGCCGGCACCTTCCGTGGGCAGTCATCTTTCAGCCCTTGGGTAGAGGCTGGCTCCTGGTGAGCTCTTTGTGGCCTCAGGCAACTCCAGTGTTTCCCCTGGGGTGACAAGTTGCTACCCCTGGTTCTGTGGGAATCCTATGGCTAGCAGTGGCACTCATGCTCTATCGGGAACAGTTGGCAGTCATTTATGACCCATGCACATTTAGGAACTTGGGGCGTGCGATTTCTTAGGTGGCCCACCTCCTGTCCCAGCCAGCGCTGTCCTGTTTGGTGGGGCCAGCTCCCAGCATGTCTAATACCTCTCACTTTACAGCCAATGTCACCATCTTTAGTCCATCGTCCTTCTTCATCATGGTGCACACAGGCATGGGGCTACAGCTGCAAGTGCAGCTGGTGCCCATCATGCAGGTGTTTGTCAGCCTGGACCCCTCCTACCATGGCCAGATGTGTGGTGAGGCACCAGTGGACTTGAGGGCGGGACCGTGGGGGGGCGCTGCTGGGGGTCAGGCCTGCCCTAGCTGTAGAATCCCCAACAGAAGGGGGTCGGGAAGCATTGGCTCCAGGGCTCCACTGAGACCCCAGCACCACCCAGCACACCTGACATCTAACCAGTAACCTGTCGAGTGGCCTGGGAAGACAGATCTAGCTGTGCTGCCCCGAATGGGCTAGCCCTGTTAGGGGCTTATCTGTGGGTAGTTCTGGAGTCAAACACTAGGAAGAGACTTTCTTCCCAGTCCTCTTTTGATAGTGCTAGAGGGGAGACGGCCCTGGGGAGAGTGGCCAGGTTGAACAACCTGCTGAGCCCCTAACTCCGGTCCCTAGGCCTGTGTGGGAACTACAACCAGAACCAGGCCGATGACTTCACAGCCCTCAGTGGGGTGGTGGAGGGCACAGGAGCTGCCTTCTCCAATACCTGGAAGACTCAAGTCTCCTGCCCCAACGCCAAGAACATCTTTGAGGACCCCTGCTCGTACAGCGTGGAGGCTGGTAACCACCTGCTCTAGTCTCTGGCCACCCTGACAGCCCTGTCTGACCTCTGGGGCCACATGAACCATGGGGGAAGGGCTCAGAGAACCCCTATGCGGGCGGGAAGGCATGAGGGGTTAGGGCTGAAGGGGGGAGCAGGCTCTGGGAAGCAGGTGAGGGCCAGCCCACATTTCTCCCTTCCCTAGAGAACTACGCCCAGGAGTGGTGCTCCATGCTCACTAAAAGCTCAGGCGTCTTCTCAGCCTGCCATGCCACCGTCAGCCCAGCGCCCTTTTACTCGGTAAGACCATGATCTGCTAGGCCTGGGTGGGCCCTTGAAGGCTGGACTCCCAAGGCCCTCCCACCACTACCCACTCTGGTATTTACTTTTCCAAGGGTTCACCAACTGAGAAGCTAAAAAAAAAAAGGCTCCGGGCGGGGGGCTCAGAAGGGTCCTCAATAGTCTTAGTGTGTGTCCATCCTCATTCTTGCAAGGACTGGTGCTGGAGCATTGTCTTGTCTCCATGGGCTCCCCCTTAAAGGCTTCTTTCTATATTGGCCCCATTCACACATGACAGAGCACTCAGAGCACCTTTTGGGGGACACACCTTAACCCTAAATAGCACTCCAAAGCCCTAAGCCTTAGCACATCATTCCATTTTCAAGGGTGAGTCTCCAGGTAACCCACTTCTATGACACCTTGCTGGACATACCCTCCTGAGCATCGTTGGCCTTTGTCTCAGTATACCCTGTCTATTCCATCCAGGCCACCTATGTGCAGTTAGATCAACACCTCAGATACAAGTTGAACCTGCCCTTGTCTTGTGGAGATTCTTCCCTAGATCCCCTGCCTTAGACTTCAGGCCTTCCAGCTTCTATGCCCAGACCCCAAGTCTGTTCTCCATTCTGGCTGCCACTTTGCCCTGTGGCCTCTGACACTGTCCTTAACATGAATCCCAGGCCACTACTCCAAGACCCTGCTTGTGGTGGCTCCTGCGGGAAAGCCACAGGCCCAGGCCTTGATCAGGGTTTGGCTGATGTTGATGGGCAAGTCAACGGAGCAATCAGGGACCCTAGGAGACAGAGGCACCTGACTTCCTGACATCTTGTCTCCCAGAACTGCATATTTGACACGTGTAACTGTGAGAAGAGCGAGGACTGCATGTGCGCAGCCCTGTCCTCCTACGTGCATGCCTGTGCCGCCAAAGGCGTGCTGCTCAGTGGCTGGAGGGACGGCGTCTGCAGTGAGTGTTCTATGGGCAGCTGGGCTCCTCATCACGGGTTATACTTCCCCACAGTATAACCTGTCACTCTGGCACAGGGGGCACATGGGACCCTTGATAACAGGATCTACCAGTCTCCGGTCCCATGTCTACAAGAACCTTGCATTCTGTTGTGTCTACAATGGTGTCACCAATCTAAGGCGGGAAGCACAAAGCCTGGGCCAGTTCACCCAGCCATTGACCTCCCTGTCCCCTGTTCTTCTTCCTACAGCCAAGTACATGAACAACTGTCCCCAAACCAAGAGCTACTCCTATGCTGTGAGTACTTGTGAGCCTACCTGCCGCTCTCTGAGTGAGGCTGACGTCACCTGTGGCATCTCCTTTGTGCCCGTGGATGGCTGCACCTGTCCTGAAGGCACCTTCCTGGATGACAAGGGTCACTGTGTGCCTGATGAGGAGTGCCCCTGTTTCTTCCATGGAACTGTGGTGGCTCCTAGAGAGTTTGTTACGGACAATGGTGTGGTGTGGTAAGGAAGAGCACCCTCATCCATCCCCCATCCTCACAAACCTGTGTCAGTGGGCTCGCTAGCTGCTGGTCCTTTTATACCCGGAAGTTTGTGTGGCCTCCTCATTGATGGTTTCAAGACACACTTTGGGCATGCTGGATGTTGGGGGCACCCTTCAGATGCCCTGAGAAAAAGCAGGGAGGTTATTCTGAGGGTCCTATGATGTCAGGGCAGAAGTGCTGACAAGCAGCTCTCAGCTGAGGTCCTACCCTCTCCTTGGCCTCCAAGGCAGTTCCTTACAACTCACAGTGTAAGCGAGCTTTCTATTACTGTAGCAAAAGCCTGAGACAAGACATAGAGAGGCCTGTCTTGGCTCACAGTTCTGGAGGTTCAGCCCATGACAGCATATGGCTGACTGGTCCCATAGCTTCGGGCCTGTTGCAAGGCAGTACTTCATGATGGAAGACTGTGGAAAACAAAACTCACCTCACAGCAAGAAAGAGAGAGTGCGCAGGATAGCATTAAGGTCCCACTGTCCCCTTCAATGACCTAACTTCTTCCCGGTTGGCCTTACTTCTTAAGGGCGCTACCACTTTCTAGTATTAGCATAGGCTGGTGACTAAACCTGTAATGTGTGGGAATGTGGGGTTCAGGGTCTTCCCAAGTACCCCCAACAGCTGGCACCCTCTGGACATTGGGAGGAGGCGAGGAGGCCCAGACCTTGGTCGGCTTAGAGCAGGGGCACTACTTTATCTTCTAGCTCGTGTGAAAATGGGAAGCTGACCTGTCTTGGAGCCCTGATGCAGAGGAGCACAGGTAATATTCCACCCTGACCAGCCTGTACTTTGCCATGGCTGCTGTGCCAAGATGCTCTAGGGGAGGAGGGCCCATGGGTTTTCTGGCACTGTGGCCATAGAGCTCTTGGGGCTGTGGGCTATACCCTCCTGGGGCAGGTCCACACAGCCTGGATGCTTGGGACATAGCTTGAAGCCATGTAAGACCCAAGCTTGCTACAATCTGAGCAGCAAGACAGGGTCAGAAGACTGTAGGGACCAGGAGTGTCCCGTCCCAGGCCTCTCTCACCTGCTTTTTCTCCTCAGAGTGCCAGGCGCCTATGGTATATCTAGACTGTAACAATGCCTCAGTGGGTGACCAAGGGGCTGAATGCCTCAGAAGCTGCCACACACTGGATGTGGACTGTGTGAGTCCTCTTGGTTGCAACAGCAACCTTCATCCATCATCCTAAGCTACAGAGAAATTCGGGGGTGGGGGAGAATGTCACTGGAAGGTCAGTGGCTTTGGGTCTTGCTGACCCTGGATGGCCTCCTCCTGGGCACTCCCAGGACAAGGTCTACTTGCTTGGTTCCTGGGCACCTGAATAGGGATGAGGAAACAGGCTATTGTTTCAGTCCCTGACTAGGCTACCTGTGCCCACAGTTCAGCACACACTGTGTCTCGGGCTGTGTGTGTCCCTCAGGGCTGGTAGCAGATGGGAATGGAGGCTGCATTGCTGAGGAAGACTGCCCCTGCGTACACAATGAGGCCACCTACAGACCTGGGGAGATCATCCGGGTAGACTGCAATAACTGGTAGGTTTCGGGACCCTCAGAGGGGGTCGGGAGGTATCTACAGGGACACTGGTCTGAGTTGGCCTTGGTATTTCAGAGGCCTCAGCATGTGTCTCGGGGGCCAAGGTACTCATCAGACCCCATTCTGTGGAGGAGAGGCTGTTTCTCCAGCCGGGGGTGATTGGATGCATACCCACACAAGACCAAAGCTTGATGCACTCTGAGCTTAATTCAAGTGAAGTGGCCCTGCTAGCACAGGACTGGGACAGCCAGGCTCAGAGGATGGATGATACCCTTGTCAGCAATGATCTCTCCTTGCACAGTACCTGCAGGAACCGCCGGTGGGAGTGTACGGAGCAGCCCTGTATGGGTGCATGTGTGGCCTATGGGGATGGCCATTTTGTCACCTTTGATGGTGAGCGCTACATCTTTGAAGGCAGCTGCGAGTATACCTTAGCTCAGGTGTGTGGTCTCTGCCCTCTCCCACCATGTCACCCATCTCTGTTCTTCCCACCACTTATTTTTGAGCTGTGAGCAGAGCCTCATCTTTTCCCTCCTCAGGACTACTGCAGAGGCAACACCAGTACTGATGGGACCTTCCGTATTGTCACTGAGAATGTCCCTTGTGGGACCACAGGAACCACCTGCTCCAAGGCCATCAAGATCTTTGTGGAGGTGAGAGTATACTTGTAGCCACTGGGGACTGTGGCCCTCCCTCTGCGGCTCCTCCTCTGGTTCTCCATCAGTTATTCTCAAGGACAGGATAGCAAGTGACTCCAACCTACGACTTATGATAGCAGACTACCATCTCCCCTCCTTGAACCAGAGTTAGATCAAGGCAAACGGGATCATGCTCCCCGCAGCTCAGGAGGATCCTTGCTGCCTTTCTGGACTAGGGGTTCCAGCAGTCCTTGGTTTGTGGCAGCATCACTCCAGTCTGCCTCTGTCTGTTCATGACCTTCTGCTCTGTGTCTGTATGTCTCTGGTCATTGTAAGGGCAGTCACTGGGCTTAGGGGACACCCAGGTAATTTAGAAACCCTATCTCAAGATCATCCAAAGGCTCTTTTTCTAGTAAAGTGTTATTTTAAAGTCATGGGAATTATGGGTATATTTGGGAGTGATATTACACTCAGTACCCCACTTCTGGCAAAGGGAAGTCAGAATTCACAGAGCACAAAGCAGAGCTCCTGGCTTGGGATGTGTCTTAGTTAGGGTTTCTATTGTGCAATAAAACACCATGACCAAAAAGCAAGTTAGGGAGGAAAGGATTTATTTGGCTTACACTTCCAGATCATAGTCCCTCACTGGAGGAAGTCAGGACAGGAACTCAAGCAGGGAGGAACCTGGAGGCAGGAGCTGATGCAGAGGTCATGGAGGATGCAGAGGTTATGGAGGGGTGTTGCCTATTGGCTTGCTTGCCACTGCTTGCTCAGCCTGCTTTTTATAGAACCCAGGACTATCAGTCCAGGGATAGTATTGCCCACAATGGGCTGGGCCATCCCCCATTGATCACTAATTGAGAAAATGCCTTACAGCTGGATCTCACAGAGGCATTTCCTCAACTGAGGCTCCTTCTTCTCTGATGACTCTAGCTTGTGTCAAGTTGACACAAAGTACAAGATGCATCCCCTTCAGAGCCAAGGAAGGCAGCAGCAGGTCACCTGAGGTGGGTGGGGGATGATGTAAGATAGCATTGCACATATGAGCCTTTGGAGATTTGTAGGTGTATGGCCTGACTTTCCCCATTTCTCACACAGTGAGTTTTCATATTGAGGAGTCCTCCACAGGTAGCAAGCAACCTTCTGATGTCCCAGCTCCCTGAAATTGTGGCCCTGTTTTTCTCCATCTGCAGAGTTATGAGCTGATTCTTCATGAGGGGAACTTCAAAGTGGTGGAGAGAGGGTCAAGTGGGGAGCTTCCATACAAGATCAGATACATGGGTATCTTCCTGGTCATTGAGATCCGCAGTGGGATAGTCGTGTCCTGGGACAGGAAGACCAGTGTGTTTGTCCGTCTGCAGCAGCATTACAAGGCAAGTGTGGCCACCATGCACCCTGCTTCTAGGCCTAGCTAGGATAGGTCTAGGGCTGGCAGCTGATAAGGCTGCTGAGGGATGGATCACATTGAAAAGCTCTAGTCACTGAGACCACACACAACACCAGGTTCCAAGAGGGATGGCTTGAAATTGCAATGAATAATGAGTGTACTGGATGAACCAGCCATGCCCACAGGCCTGTGCGGAGACAGAATCTTCTAAATAGAATAAGTTCAATTCACTCACCTGTCCCAGGACCCACTTCCCACACCCATTTGCAAATTCACTGAGTACAACTCAGGAGAAATGGGTTCTCCCTGTGTTTTGCTCCCAAACCGGGCTCTGTACACCTCAGCTAACCTGCCCAGGATTCTCTCCCCTCATGTGTCTGCAGGGAAGGGTCTGTGGCCTGTGTGGGAACTTCGATGACAATGCCATCAATGACTTCACCACACGCAGCCAGTCTGTGGTGGGTGATGTGCTGGAGTTTGGAAACAGCTGGAAGTTCTCTCCATCTTGCCCAGATGCACCAGTTCCCAAGGACCCCTGCACTGCCAACCCTTACCGCAAGTCCTGGGCCCAGAAGAAGTGCAGCATCATTAACAGTGCGACCTTTGCTGCCTGCCACTCCCAGGTAGAGCCTAGCTTTGGTTCACAGGGCTTGCAGTTGCCTGCTTCTTCCTGGTAGGAATTGAGTCTTGCTTGACTAGACACAGTGGGCCTCTGAGGACCGTCTTGGTCCAGTCAGAGCACATGGTCCATGGCCCTGGGTTTTCAAGTTCTAGGTCCAAATCTCCCACAAGATGGGTAAGAATTCATGCATATATCCCAGCATGGAGTAATCACCACTATTTTGGGACCAGTCCTTGATTACAGTATTCATCCATGGCTCTCAGTGAGGCAGGTACCTTCTTCATCCTCCTGGGTGACCCCCAGACCTGCTCAGTGTGCATCAGGAACATCAGCAGAACTCTCCCAGAGGAAGTGGTAACCGGCTCTCAGTAGATTTCCAAAGGCTACATCCTGTTACTAAAACCAAGACTCAAGTGTCCACCTCCTAGGAAAGTGGCTTCACAACTGTGGGGCGTTTACCCACCACCCCCACAGCTTCCCAGAGTTTTCTTGAGTGCGAGCAGCAGGAAATATTAGATAGAAGGATTTATAGCGGAGAGTGTTGCGGAGATAAACAGATAGAAAATAAAGGATAGCCTCGAGAGGGCCTGGAACCTATTCCAACGGGCCCCGACTGTCTCTGGTCCAGGGTTTTTATAGAG